GTGTAATAAAAAAACCTCGAAATTAACATGAAATTTTCGATTTTCCCACCGAAAGGACATCGGGGTGTTTCTTTTCCGGCAGAGTTTTGTTACTGAAACGTAACTCATACATTGTACGAAAAACCGTCCAGCTGTAGCACTCTTTCGGTTTCTAACTGCCATGCCACCCGAAGGTTGCACGAGGGCTGGAATACTGGCGGGTTGCCCAAGCTTAGACAGGGGAAGTCGAGAGGCAGAGGCCGGGTTCGAACCACGGACCTTTCGTTCAGTGAATTCGCGCTCTAACCACTTGGGCCGTCTCGCCCTATACATGGTATGTACAATGGTTTTTATCTAGGATAAAAAATCTTACCTCTTCCTAATGGCAGAGTTGTCCTTCTCTGGAGTTTTGGTGAGATCTGGTCATTGATTCCTCCTGGGAGGCAACAAGGGAATTAGAACGAAAAAACTCATTCCAAAAGTATTTTGTAAAACTTTGTACTATTATGTTCGGTGACCCACCCAATTTAAATGTTACAACATTGCCACACTACTTCTTTATGCATATCGTCGTAGTTGGACTAATTGTTGACTCAAAGAGAACGTGGGGTCTTCCTTCATCAAACGGGCCACCAGAACTGACTGGACAAAAGTGTTTCATCAGGAGAGTGGTCACGATAATTTGGAACCACAATAGCTCTGAAAATCGGTACAATAGAAAACCACATAATAATATAATATAAGAAGTTAGGCTTGAGTTAGTTCAGTGGTAATGGCGCGAACGTACCAACCGAAAGTTCTGTTTTTTTTAACACAACTCCGGCATTTCAATTGCTCCTATCTTGGCTCGGGCAACCTGGCACTATCCAGATGCTCATGCTTCTGTCGGGTGGCATGACATCGAAAGGGTTTTACAGCTGAACGATCATTTAATAATTTACTAAGTTACTTTTGCTGGGGTTCGACAGAGAGCAACCCCAGAAAATGAGAGCAAATGGGATCAGTTAAGGAGCAGTTCCGTAGTAGTCCTCGTGAACTTAGATGTGTTGGTGAAGTTTAATTGAAGCAAGGTCACTGATTAGAAAACCCGGAGTTTACCTAATTGCGATTGGAAGGAGTGAGATACTGAATATAACCAGCTATTCGGTTCCCAGTTATTTCATTCCTGTTTAGTGCACCTGAGTAGTGGTGACAAATTTCTCCACGCAGCCGCACACAACAAGTGTTGCGTTTTCATTAGACGATATGAAAAAAGCAGGGATTTTTACTCACACGCTAGGCTGATGAATTTTTACGGTCTCTTCTGAATGTGATTTCGATTAAAGCGTGCCTTAAGAACTGATCGGAGTCCATTTTGAGCAGTGACATTTTGGGTGTTTCAAAAAGTCAATGGGAATCGAGGGTCCGACTAAAAGTAATCCCCTCTGGGTTTTTTATAGCTGGCTTTCCCAGAGGTGGATGAATGTAACTGGTCAATGTCACCCATGCTAGACGAGTTTCCTACCGTTAACTGTCCGTTCATCCAGATTCTGTCGAGTACAAAAACACTCACGTGCTCATGTACATCTCATCAAATATACACATATTCTCAAATCTTTTTGAAACTCACGGATCGAGTTAACAGCACTCAGGGAAAGCGCGATAAGTCATGGGATGTACGGAACGCCGTTGTCTCGTGCTTGTAATCTATTGCAGTCAGAACCATATAAGCTGGCCTGTCCGACCGCATGGTTTCTTCAGAATAAATCAGGCTGAAAATGGGGTGCACTTGGCGAATCGAATGGTTTTCAGGCACCGAAATTGACAAGTTCGGTACAGTGAATTGAGAGCAGCCTTCATTCGGCGGAGAACACCCAATGTGACAAAACTATACAAATCTAATAGACGTAACACACTACTCATAAGTTTGCTGAGAACACATCTGACTATTGGTGCCATTTCTGAATGTCAACGCGCACAGTTCCGGGGTGGTGGTACACTTGGCATCCAGCCAACTGGGTGCGTGATTCAATTTAGTTGTGATGTTTTTTACTCTGAGTACGTCAAGACATTTGTCTGCACGTATGGTGCACAAAATTGTGGGCTAGGCACAGCAGTACAACCACACCAAGTTAATGTCAGCTTTCAAGCCATTATGGGCAAAATTCCACTATAACTGGGCACAGGATCATCATCATCATATCGATCGAATTCATTGTCTGCTAGTATCAGCAGCCTGAGAGATTCGAACTATTGTTGTTGTTCCTTCCGTAGGATCCTTTCAATAGACTAGACATGTCCATAAGGCAGGCCTTTAGGGAGTCTTTTGCTTCGTTCCCAGCATGGAAGAATAAGCTACCCTCGAGCAGTAATCAGGGACCATCACAGCCAGGTTTTTGTGTCCGTTGGTTGACCATTTCCAGTTATATCACCGGTTTTGGTTCCTTTGTTTCAAGTTGGAACTCCAAAGACTGAAAAGTTTTTCGAATTGGATTCATTCACGTTGCATTTCTCCTATTTGTCAAGATTAATTTGGCATTTTAAAGGATTTCACATGTCGCCATTCTCACCTTGAGTAACTTTGCACAGAATTTAACGAAGTTTTTTAACATAGGAAATCTCGTGTGAATACTCATTGGAGGGTAGAATTCTTTGTCAAGTGCTAGAGACTATAATCACTTACGTACACATGAATTTTCACCGCACGAGTTCACCTGTTTGGCTGGTACAGGCCGACTGTCAAACATGCCTCTAATGTGTGTTGTTGTATCAGCAGTCTTTCGTGCAAGTCTTCCACGTTTATGACAAAACCGTGGAGTCGTTGTTTTTCTAAAAGGGTTGGTCACGGGCCATTCACTCCATCCAAAACCTGCCGACTGATTTTTATGAAGTTTTATCTGAATGTTATTCGGACAGTAACTCTACTGTACGTGATCCACTCCGTCAACTGCTTTGGATGATATGTTGTTGCCGCAACAACTGCCACTTAGACTGAGTTGCCGGGCCACATGTCGGAGTAGTTGAGGCTACGGCGGTAGCTGATCGGGTGGCTGTCGATATGTTCGTCGTCACCATCGTTAGCGCGCATTTCGGGTTGACAGTTCGTCTCTTCGTGCTCGCGCTCATATGCATAGCAAAGACTACCCTTAAACTCTAACGCAGTTGGTTGTTCGTAAGCAGTCTCACTAGAAGTCCGATTAGTTCGTTCGTGATCCATGTTACTTCGAACGAAAGACCTGCTATCACGCAAATGGACGCTTCCAGAACCCTAGAGTAGTCGCAGGAGCTAATAAGCTAGATAGGCGTGAAATGAGGTTCCACCATCTTACAGAGTTCGCGCTGGCGTTCAAGAGCGAATTAGTTTGCTTCAGCCCACGAAGGTGACACATGCATTGTCATTCACAGCAGTACTTCGAAGAGTTGAAGTATTACAGTGGAAATTTTGGCCAATGACATCTTTTCTCCGTCACACTCATCACGGTCGTGACAGGAGAGAGCACACCAACTTTCCTATAAGCTCTTCTGGAGGCTTTAAAAGGTCAAAATGTTATTGCTCGGGTCATCTTGCAGTCAACCAGGTATACTTCGGAGGGAGCAGAATTCATTTCAGCCAGTTTAAATAGCCTTCAAATAGCCCACATGGCAAAAAAATAAGAGGAGTATCTCATCATAGGAGTCCGGTGTTCTTTTGAAGCTCTTCTTTTTACTTCATGGAAACTGCGTACTTGAGTTTTGGGATTGAACAGCGCACCGAGTGGCCTCCACCTAAAGTTGTGTTGCACTTGAAAATTCAGAATCCATCAAGCAGCCGACTGTGAATTTATGGTTAGTTTTTCCCGGAGCTGGTTGTTTGAAATCCCAATCGTATGCCCAGGGTAGGGTGAACATGAATGTTGGAAATGTTTGTGACAAAAACCTAACAATCAGCAATCTGCTTATTATTATAGCCAGAGGATCAATAAAACGAATGAATAGATGCATTAGACCGATGGGCGATGCAGTTTAGAGGGATCACCTGGCACGAGCGTGTTTTGATGATCAACGGAGTCGTCGAAGAGATAAACATAGTTTTAGAATTGAGTACACTATGCAGTCTGACCTGCAGTAGGGAACAGCTCGCCACAAAATCAGATCTTTTAAGGCGAAAATCGCGTTTAACTATGCTCTCAAATGTTTTTTACTCTGGTGGAAACTACTCAGCTAATTACATTCTGTAACCATTTCCGGAGAAGTTGGTTGTGACTGTTCATCCCTTTCTAATCAATCTCGTTTAGTTCGCACCTTTCCAGGTTCCATTAAATTTTAAGACAGGCAAGTTTGTATATCTAATGAATCGCACAATACTTTCAAGTGATCTTTGGTTGAAATGATTACAGCGAGGTGTTTGGGAGGGGAGGGGGCTAGTTGTGGTGTTAAGATTATGTTGTTTATTAGGCTGCCGATAAAATTCGCGAAGCATCAGAGTGATTTAGTATGCTCTAACCTTAGCTGGACACATCACTGCTCGCTGGCCCATCCGTAGAGCATAAGAAACAATGGTCACCAATATCTTGCTCCACAATCCCGATAGAAGTCGATAAATTTTCAAGTTTCACAGACTGGCCGGGGTTTCTACGCTTTCTTTTGCACTTAAAATACAAAACTTTAAGTGTATATTCACTTTTATCCACTATTATGAGTGGGATGGGACAACTAATGAACTCGCAAGTATCAACATCACGAAGTGACGGGAAACTTGGTTTGTGTACATTTTATGAAACTCCAGTACGGTAACATATTGTCAGAATATTGGTGGCTTGGATGCATTCATTCGTAGTTGATTAGGTGACTGTTGATCTGTTCGCAAAGCATGTCGTTTCGCCAGGGCGAGCGCTAATTATGTCTCCTCGAATGGCGCCGAAACGTCTTCAAGTCAACTGGCAAGTTTGGCGAACAGAACAACAGTCACCTGATCAATCACCAGATAACACAGACTGTTAGCATGTCAGTACCTACACGTACAAGATCCACAATTGCTAACAAATATGATTTTGGTATTCCAGGTTCTCGCTACACGACTTCCGATTTCTTTGGTGTGAAGTATCCCAGGATCGCACCTTTTCTTTCTGCGTATCAGCGAGGAGGAAACCAAACGTCACTGAATCTCATTCTGTGTAAGATCCTATTCGTCAACCGTGGAGTGCCTAACGGATACCCGCGTTCTTTTGGAACCCGCCAGATTTAACGGTTTTGCTTGCAACGTGGAGGAGCCAAAAGATAACCCGCCATTGGTTGTTCCAGAGGGAGCTTCGTCCTCCCTGGACAGTCCGGATAATTCAGAACATGCTTCCGAGGCTGAAGTTGGTGGTACACGAACAAATGAGCTGCATGATGAAAGTATGACTGATCCACAATTCCCGGAACCACCAGAGGAAGGCATCTACTTGGATAGAGATGAAAATCAGGAACCAGCTCTTGGCTACGCCACTCAGTCGATGATAGACAGAAACGTACAACAGAAAAGTGGTGAGGACAATATACATTCTTCAGCTCAGTTCTTTGAGCAATCTGCATCGTATCCAACAAGCTCTGACGAACAAATGAGGGACTACTGCTTCGTGGAGCACTCGGGGTTACAGAAGAATGCTGTTGTTGAAACAGGCGATGAAGGTCCAATTGAAGAAGAAAACTCACCGGGATTCGAACCGCCTCATCCAGAAAATGGTCACAATAGTGAAGAAAGTTGTGGCTCCTTTCTGCTAATAAAGTCCGGAGCGGCTGTTGACCAGGAAGTAGTACAAAATCTTCAGACAAGAAATAATGGAGCGACGGGCTCTACAGAACTTGTTTCAGAACCGCCAGCCTATAGCGAATTGCAATGTGGACTCGTCGTGGAATCAACTGAAACGAACTCAAATAGCCATCTCACCCAACCTGTTGAATCGCACTCTCCAAGCGAATTCAGCTACCACTCCGAAACACGGTTTGAACAAGGCTTACAACAACCGTTTATAAGTGTGAAATCAGCTGATCTAGAGTTTGATTCACCATTACAAGCAGACGAAACTGCTCTCCAAGACACATCGATGGACACCACAGTTGGAGTTTCTGAGCTGTTATCGGATCAAACCTGTCCGGAACCGCAAACACAGACACTGACATGCTACGAAGATCTTACCGGCTCAGTTGGCATAGAACAAGGCTATCAGACAAGCTTCGATGGTGGCAGTAGCTATCACGATGATGTGCCGCTCGAGGAGGTAGATGACTTCCAGTGTAGAGAAGCTCTAAACAACGATGCTGGGCAAGAGGAAATCCAAGTTCCACATGTCCAAGAACAACCAGTCTGTATCACAGAAAACTTGACACACCCACCTAAAGGTGTTCCGGATACAGAACTTTATGGAGTGGTTGAGGAAACACCTAGGCCATCTTTTCAAGAGATATGTGCAGATTTAGATAGGAAAAAGTGAGTTTTTTGTCTGAACCTTTTGTTATGAATTACGGAAGGACTGTTTGATTGTTCAAATGGTTTAGAAACATTAAGATACTCGTTTTAATTGGGTAAGTTATGGGATGTGTAAGTTGGCGTAGGATCGCTTGTCGGTACGTCCATCTACGATGGATTTGCAAATCTAAGAAATGTTAATTTTGATGGAATATTGTGAGGCTTCAAAATTCTGTGTAACCTAGCAGCAACATATCTCCAGGGCTTGGGTGATTGAGCGTTCATAGTGAGTGCCTGATGGGTATTCTTGTCGGATCTACTTCGTTTGCTTCTTGCCATGTTTAGAATTCTCTGAAAACCCGTATGGAAACGTAAGCGCTGCGAACCTCGAAAGTGTACAAACTATCGGAAGGTTTCATGAATCACTGAACAAACAACATCGGCAAAAGAGAATAAAAACGAATGCCACACTGAATTTGATTTCATTTCGGTTTGTTCCGGAACACTTGGTGTTTGTCGTCAACAGAAAGTTTCACAACACCTGAATATAAGTAAACCAAAGAAAAATCAATGAAATAAATTTGTTGGGGACACAACAATCAGTGACTTTAAATTTAATCTCGATCACATTCATGGTTTGCCTCGGCGCTGCGCATGAGGCTTTTCCACGGGCTTTCTCTTAGTTCACTTCAAACAAGGGTTTGCAAAATCAAAGCCCGATTCTGAAAGCCAGACTGTTATCAGGGGATAGAAAACCGACAATTTGCCGTGCGGTCGATTGGCCGTCACGTGATCGGACCACCGTAACTAGGGCTCGAATGCGAATTGCCTTCATGCGCACGCCTCATATTGCGCGGACGAATCGCAGCTCGCAGCCGTCCCCAGACAGCAGATCCCGGTACTTAGACAGCACGTGCTACGTTCCCGAGGCAGTGAGACTAAGTCACATGACTGTTATCGGCCATGCGGACATTCAGTGGGCTAGGCGGTGAATTTCTTCGGCCTTGTGTTATCAGCCCTAAGGGGTTACTGGCCTTTATTTCGCTACACAACGTACGTGC